CATCTGGGGACCATTCCACATTATTAAGCTGTAGTCCTTTCAGTTCCTTTCCCCAAATCCTGTTTCCATCCACAGAACCAACAATCACTGCCCCTGTAATGATATATTAAAAAGATTCATTGTCACAAACAACCCAAAAAATTAAAGATAACATTAAAAGTAATTTATGATTGGCTTGATATCATTGGTGGGAGTACAGAATCCAAAGATCTGAGGTTCAAATCCTTAAAGATCCTTTCAACTTTTTTCACACACATACATAGGACAATCATTAAACAAGGGAAAATTGTGTCCATGTAATCAAAGCAATAAAAATCCAGATTACAGATTGCTTAGTAAATAGAGGACTCTTCACACATACGTACTAGGTAGCTAATCATTATTCATGTTGCTTCATGTTCCATTAGAAAAAAAATGACACACTCAAGGTTGGTCAAAGGTGAACTAAGAGAAGCGCATATACTGACTACAATACACTTACCATCTTCATAAACAATACAGATTCTTTGGCCATCTGCATTCCATTTCATGTCACGTACAACACTTCTGTTTCTGTTGTTGATCATCTCTTCATACCATGACCCTGAATATTGTAAATTTCACAAAAATTCTAAGTCTATTTTTCTTTCCTACTTGGCCCTCTTTCAGTTTGAAACTCAGTTGGTCTCATCACACCTCTAAGAGATTATTCTCAGACAAGTGATGTAAATATTCAATTTTAAAACCCCTAAGACCATTTAGCTGTAGTCTGTGGTTGCTAGAGCATCCCAGATTACCCCCCTTCCCCCTCTCCATGTCCACCATTTTTTTAGGCTCCCTAGAAAGTTTTCTTATACAGTCAAACCTTGATTATCTGAATTCCTGGGAACTGGGCTTAATTACTTGTCCATAATTAAGCCCAGTTCCCAAGAATTCTAAGAGCACTGTCCTGTTTCTGAGCAGAAAGGGATTTTCTTTCCTTATTTATATAATAGACTTTGATCTTTTTCATATATTAATATATGTATATATATATATATATATATGAAAATAATTTTAAAAATCAATAAAAGTCAAACATACGAATATGAATGTTTATAGATTATGGGACCAGAGAAGCAAGTCCAGATAACTGAAAAATCTGGATAATCCAGGTTCAGATAATTGAGATTTGAATGTACCCATTTAAATTCCTGGGTGCAGCATTCAATTCAATTCAATTGGGCTTGGTAAGAGTAGAGTGTTTTGCACAGGAACACAACATAACAACGAGACCAAATCTCAAATCTAAATCTCTTAATGCAGAGTTAAGTGTTAAGGCATTGTTAGGCCAGTTCCTTTCCCCAGCAGATTAGACAACAGTATAATCTATATTGCTACAAACCTTTGTAAAGTATCCAGACAATGATCAGGCCATATTGGTCGCTTGTGGTTAGTTTTTGAAAATGTTCATTCCAGGTTACTACTTGCACAGCACCTATTGAGGAGTAAAATTTAAACAAAATAGATTTATGACGTCTAAACATCAGAAAAAAGTTGACTAGGGTTAACCCTTTAACTCTCAAGATCTGGTTGTTATTTCTCCCCATCTAGGTGCTTTCCTTGTAACTTAGTTACGAGAGTTTAGTGTTTAAGATCAAGATAACATTTAATTACTACCTGAGAAGTTTGAGAATTCTCATTACCAGTTTTCTGTATGATGTTTGGATATTTTAGGGAGAGGTTACATGTTCATCACTTCTGGGAGTTGAAGGGTTAACCTTTTATTATTACCTGCATGTGGTAAAGGTTATGATGAAAGGAGAAGAACTTAAATTATCAAAACTGACACACATCTTTGTTTGGCCTACCAGTGTGTCCCTCAAGGGTTTGATTCATAGAGAGATTACTTGGAGCAGCAAGTCCTCTGACTTTGGCATCTTTTCCTGTAAAATAACAGTATGAATAATACAGAATATAACAATGAAAACATAATTATCACAAAGAATTGTCGTTACTGAGAATTAGAAAGTTAACATATCATGTCAACGATCAAAGTTTATAGCACAAGCATGTAAATTTATGATTTGTTCTTTTCTAAAACCTTTTCTCTCCCACGGATGACCAATAGGTAATTTCTCCTAGAATATCAATGCAACATGAACCAGACAAGTGATGAGAAGAAAAATAAATATCAACAAGGGAATACTGTCTGATTTGGCAACAATTTCTCATAGTTAAGATTACCACAAAACCATTCTAGATGGTTAGAGAAAGTACCGTTGAGATCTTTTGAATAGAAGGGTTTTAAGCTTTATTATGATTAAAAGCTTCATTATGATTAAAAGAAATCTATAGAAGATGGTTAGGAGAATTGATGTCGAGATCTTAGGAATGAAAGGCTGAAGCTTCATACCTGGTTGTGTTTCCAGTTTGAGAACTTTGAGCAATCCATCTTCACCTCCACAAGCAATGTACCCGTGTTCTCGATTCCAAGCAAGGCATCGCAGTCTGACATTATTCGGAATGGCAATCTTATAAATTAAAAAAAAAAAGGTAAGAGGTTTAGGAAAAATTCGCCTTGACAACGTTCACAGATGTAAACAAACCTGTGAAAATAGATTAACGAATCAACAAGAGAGAAAGTGACAAACCTTTTTGCTCAGATATATGAACATGTTTACAGGTTATTGTTTCAAACAATTCAAAGATGGAAGTTTGGCTTCATTTGCCGGCAATATTGGAAAATTTATAACAACACCACCTGGCCGCCATTTTATTTTTGAGCAGGAAAATTCCCATGTGCCATTTCGAAGAGGACTATGATATTGGAGAAGATTGGAGAAGGTTCCTGCATGTATTACATGAAGCATCGATCACTGTTCAAGATGGCGGCAAAGATGGCAGTCGGAGTAGCTCCTTGGGTTAGTGCAGTTAGAGATGTACACATAGCTGATGTAGTTGATGAACCGTAATTTAAGATTTTAAATGCTTCCAATACGACATAGATCGAAGGCGAAGGGGTTAAGTTGAAGCCTGCAACCCCATCCTGGGGTTCAAATGTGTCTCGTCCTCAGTGTAGATACAAACTTCTCGTCCTTCAGCGTTCTTTGATATTGTCATCATCTTGTGAAGTTTCTTATTAGTTAATCATACCATTTTTATAGTGATATATCCTAAGCCTCGTTCGATCAAGAAATGAATGTTTTTGGTTAACTTTAAAGTTTAAACTTTGCATGGTTCAGTCTGTTTTCATTTATCTGAAGCATAATATGATAGACTTTTATCGGTTTTATATAAATGAAAAAAATCAAATTCTATTATATAAATAAGGAAAGAAATCCCCCTCTGCCGAGAAAAAGGGTAGTGCTCTTAGACCTGCTGCCACTTTATTTAGAAAAAAGAGTTCTTAAATTTGTAAGTGAGCTACAAGTAGATGGGAAGAAAAGGAATTGAGGGGACAGAAGGCCAACTTTCTTTCTTCTTTTTTTTTCTTTTTTTTTGCCCCTAAAGAAATCGAGAGAACCAGGAACAAACTTCTATATTTTTATTTGTGCTGCTGACCTCCCCAGTTTTTTAATTACCTGTCAGGGCTGGCCATGCAATTTATCTTCCTTTTCCAAATGTTTTTAAATTTTAGTTAAATACCTTTGTAACCAGTGTAATAACAGCATGTTTCTATGTTTTTTGACACAAATAAATAGAAGAGCAGACTTTTGGTTGCTGTCTCAGTACCTGCCCTTGGTGTTCCTTTCTTGCAAACTGTGAAAGCTGGCTCCATAAAGGTGCATCCCAGAGAGGTAATTAGTAACACTTTACCTTCACTTCTATATTACTACACTACAAGATTTCACTATCTTCCAGATAGAGATTAATCCAGTGGATAGCATTATCCAAGCTTCAAACAACAGGTGCCAGATGGGTAACATGGCTCATTAACCAAGTTAACCTCTAACCTTTAACTCCCAGAAGTGATCAATATGAAACTTCTCCCTATAATATCATTACATTATCCAGCAAACAGGTAATGAGAATATTCAAACTTATCAGGTAGAAGTTGTTTACTTGATCTAACACAAAATTCTCATAACTAAATTTACAAGGAAATGGGTAGCAGGTAGAGGGGAGAATTAACAATCAGATCTTGAAAGTTAAAGGGTTAAATTAATTTTTGACCAATTGATTTTAGTTGGAGATTTATGATGAGCCAGTTGAGGTATCAGAAGTCAAGCCAGACGAGGACAAAGTCTCAGCATTTGAGGAGAAAGTTTCAATAGCCAGAAGATTTGTATGGGGCTGGACTTCCAAAGTGAAGGTTGGGAAATAACTTTTAATTTGCAACAAATCTTACATATAACAGTTCCTAGTTTGTTCTCACTATGCTGAAGTTACCATCAAGAACAGGTAGTATTGTCAACTGGTCGGTGCAGTGTTCTCCCTTATCGTAAGCTGAGGACAGGTAAAAGAAACTTTCAGAGCAGTTGAGCAATCCTGTTATCCTGTTACCAGTTAATTTTTCAAGAATTCCAAGTGACTGTAGACAGTAATAATAGGTACACTTTACTAAAGGCAGTTGTTCTGGAACATAATTGCATACTGGGGCTTTAGTTGTTTGTAGTTTAGCTTTAAAGCCAAAAGAAAATCATTTTTGATTTGTAGCAATGATTTTTATTTTTATTTTTTGTGGTAAAAAATAAATCCTAAACAATTATTAAAGATAATGTTGCTTTCTTCTAACAGAATAGTGTAGAGGAAACAAGAAGAACCTTTTCTTCAGTCGAGGAAAGATCATTAGGTACATGTACATATTATAAATCATGGCTCTTAGATAAGACAACTGTTTCAGAGAGGATAATTATTTTGGTCTCAATTTTTAATGCCCTTGCAGTTCTCATAAACCATTTAGCCTCAAAGATTTACAGGTTCTGATATTTGAAGATTTTGTCTTTTGCCCCTGAGCTTTATCATTCTGTTCCCAGTGAAAAAATATCCTGCAAAGAAAAAGAAAAGAAAGTTCCCTGTCCTGTATCTCTGACACATTTTTTGTTGCATCTGTGAAAACAGTGCACACCTTAGTAATGTGTTTGAATGGAGTCATTTTTTTCAATAACACAGAATTTGTTCAGCTCCTGCACACTGACAGACAGTTTCAAATGAAAGTTGGTGGAATAACAGCATCTGTGTTTGTCGGTGCACTGCTAGCAGGAAGAGGCCGTAAGTACATTGAATTCTCTTGCAATTTAACTCTTACCTCCCAAGATTTTCTTTCTGAATCTCTTCCAGACATCATACATTTTATGTACATTACTAAGTAGAAAGGAAAATTTGGTCCTATATCAGTATAACAACCTTCAGCCAATACAATTGACACATTTTCCATTCTCATTAACTTGATGCTGATTAAAATAAGAAGGATTAAGGCCCAGATTTATTCAATTCAATCCATTGGCTTGGCAAATCTGTTGATCTTTTTATTTCAAAATGGTTCATTGGCTGAGTTCAGTGTTTTTTGGCTCATTTTCTAGTGATAATTTGAATCCATGGTGATAAACACAAATTAATGTACTTCAAATTGACAGCAAACATCGTAAACTTGCACTTGCCTTCCCTTGAGAATTTCCTTATACTGCATGGGAGCAACTACAAGTAAATGTGCTCCTCACTGGTCAGAAACAGATGATCCACATCAAAGAAAAATAATGTTTTTAAAAACCTATCAGTTTAGATGTACTGCTGTAGCAATGGTGAACTGTGAAGAAGTACAACACTCATGCCAGTCTGCAAAGAATAGCAGTGCTACTTTGTATAACTTGATCAGATCATCTGCTTGCAGGACCATTTTTGCCCTTATGATGACAACATTTAGGCAATTCACCTCACATGTGCATGTGCCACTCTCCACCAGGAAGCAAATATGTGGTTTCAAAGAAATTTCCGCTTCACTTGCCAGCCTTATATGTCCCTCTGTGTACTCTGTACATTTTATTTGTAATTTCTCTCATTATTTTTTCCATTTTTTTTTTTGGATTTTATTGACTGCCATGGATTATTATTTCATTCCAGGTCGGCCAATAAGGAGAATTTTCTTTTCATCAGTTTTGGGAACAACTGCAGCAGCCATATGTTATCCAAAAGAGGCAGTTCTGATAACACAAACAAATTACCACAGACTAAAAACCTTTGCAATAGAGCAGTGGGAGAAACATAATAAAAGACAAGCTGAAAGAGCTGTAAAGGAGGAGCTTAAAACTTCTGTTGATGAAACAAAAACCTCCACAGCAGAAGTTAAAGCAGAGACTGCTTCAGTGGATGAAGTCAAAGAAGAAGGTGCCTCAAACCAGAAGGAAATTATTGAGAAGCAAGAAACACAAGAGACAAATGCAGAACCACCAGTTGTGTCCACTGAAAACACATCCAAGGGATCATTCTGGAGTAAGATCCCATTTTTCGACAAGTTTATGGGGGCAAAACCAAGTGAGGCTGATGAAGTGAAGTCAGTCAAAGTGGCAGAGTCTGTTGATAAGACTGGAAGTAGCAAGGATCAAGTGATAGTTCAAGAGAAGACATCAAGTGATGTGCCCAAGCCAGAAGGAGACACAGGGCAATCTAACCCTGAAGACAAAGACATGTACTCTACTCGCTCATAAATAGTGACATCTCATCAGCCACTAACTACAGAGTGACATTATTAACAAAATATTTTTGCTGAAGGCAAATTTAAAGAAGAACAACACTACAGTTGTATGTCCAGCTACTTTATTAACCATTGAGTATGCTGTCTCCATACTGATGTTTATGACACTGTTAAGGAGAATTTGTGTAATAATCAAGAGCTTCTTTTTCTTCTCTTCTTTCATTTCCTTTTTTCTTGTGAACTTAAGGTGATATTTTAGCAAGAAGTTCAATGCTAGTCTTTCTTAGGAATCAAAGGATGGTCAAATATTGGTGTTTATTGAAAATCTAAGTTTACAAATAGTTCCTTAAAAGCAGATCTGCTTACATTTTGTATTACACCTGTAAAAAGTCTGATAATTAATTTTTCCAAAGAGTATTTGGCAGAACTTGAGAGCAGTTTGCTGCCTGCGCTTTATTTTGCTCAGCTAAATTTTGCTTTATTAGGAAAAGAAAGACTACTAATTTCCACCTCAACTAAGATTTATGTACCCTTGCCCCTTTTTTTTTACTTTTTAATTTTAATCAACATTTTTCTGCTTGACCCCTTTGTTCCTTAGATAAACAATGAGAAATGAGATAAGGAAGGAATAAAGAATTTTTAATAGGCACTGTGTTGCATTAAATTGGAATTTTCCATGTCAAATAATTTAATGTTCTGTACAAGTACTACAGGGTGTTCTGATTCCTCTAAATCGTTTTGATATCACTACTTCCAAGTATGCACAACTGAGTATCATACTTTTTGAAAGAAAACCTGGTCAAGACAAATTTTTCTTTCAAAAAGTATGATTCAGATTAACTTTCCTCAAGAAGCAAACAAAACAATTTGAATTTCAACCATGCGCATACATTTCTGGGTGAATAAATTTCATTCTCACTTTACTTGGCAAAAGAAGCCAGAGGGGGAAACAATTGATGATAGTGTTTTTCTCCTTGCTATAATTATACTGTATTTCCTCAAATAAGCATTCAGGCGTTTATATAGAAACTCAGGGTGCTCACTAACTTAGCACAGCAAAAGGACAAGAATCAACAGAGCAGATAATATACATAAAGGAACTCTGAAAACACATTGACATAGATGAACACTGAAATAGAAGAGAAACCTCTCTCCTGTAGTACTTCCACTTTAGTTGAAGCTTAAAAGTTGAAAATAAAGTAGCAATAGACACAGGTTTTCTTTGTAACCCTACTACTTAAGAAAGCAAGGGAGGTGGAGGGGGGCACTTATTAAGAAAGTGAGAGAGGAGGAGGGGGGGCACTTATTTGGGAAAGTGAGGGAGGAGAGGGGTGGCTCTTATTTAAGAAAGTGAAAGGGGAGGAGGGTGCTTATTTGAAATTATGGCGGGGGGGGGGGGGGGGGGTGCTTATTCAGGGAAAGATGCTTATCAGAGCATGGGCATTTATTCAAGGAAATACAGTAACTATCAAAAGTAAAATTAGTAACACTAATATAACCTCCAATTCAACAATTTCCTATTAACCCTTTCACTTCCAAGATGTCATCAGTAATTCTCCTCACTGTCTGCTATACAATTCTTATGATATTAGTTTGGAGAGTTTAGTATTGCATCACCTAATTATTCCCTAATTGTTTTATTATTATTATTATTATTAGTGTTACTTGTCTGCTGCAATAGTATTGATCTTGTAATGAAATATTCTGTATTGGTAACTCATTAGGGTAAAATGTAAAGGGTTCATGACATTGACTGAAAAGTATAAAGTTTCAGCTGGAAACATCAATAACATGAGTATCAAGTAGAGTGTTACTTGTGTCCTGAAATTCAATCTCTGAGTTTTTCTCGTCCTCTGAATCACTAAACAGCATTTCTTCCAAATAATTTATTTGAACTATTCCCTCCTCTCCTGATTCATCAAGACTGCACTCTGGGATATCTTGCATATTTATCTCGACTCCTACTTTACCATTGTCCAAACTTATAATAATAACTCTTTTGAATGCATTTTCATAAGCATGTCTGTGAGCAAGTTTCTTTGCATATCCTAGCAATTCCATCTTTTTAGTGGGGTCTCTTTCTGCAAATAAGGAGATAATATTGTCAAATTGCAGAGCTGATTTTTCTGACATTCTTGTAGCTTTTTTTCATGTGAGCCAAAGTTTAAATTGGAAAATATTACTTTCATACGTAATCCTCCTTGAGCCAAGTTGCTCACTTAGCAGTAGTTTATCCCTGTTTCCTAAGCCGTGAAGCAACTAGGAGTGTTACTATTCCTCCCCACCCCCTCCCCATCGCCTGAATATGATGCCAGTACATCATAAGGTTCTCTGCAAGCATTTCAGGCTTCCCTGACATTCATCTGTAACCATATTATCGACACCTGGGTGTAGAGGGGCTCTATGAGAGAAAAGTGTAAATTTTCCCAAGAACACAACATGAATGAACAGGCCAGGACTCTCAAATACAAGAAAAAAAAACAAGGTTCCATAAACTTACAGCATGGAGAAAAGGAAACAAGATTAGTAAGATATTTATTGTATCTCTGGGTTCAAATAGAGGGGAAAAGATTTCAATTCAAACAAAATTTTGAATTTAGAGTACCATAAAGTAAAAAAATGGCTAACTTAATGACCAGTCATGGGGTGCACATACTAACTGAGAGATATAAAAAGATGTCTTCTATTGACCTGACCAATTTCAGGGTAATTTAGAGTTATCAACTGACTTAAAAACATAAATTGGCCCCCATAAAGAAGTTAAAGGCAGAGGTTTAAAACATTAGCCCTTTGTGACTGAGTAATAGCCCTCTGTCAGATGCTCTGACAAAGGGCTAATGCTCGAAACATAAGCCTTTAAACTCTTTACAGAAGCCAATTTATGTTTTCAACTCAGTTGATAACACTATGATTACCCTGTCATACTCTTCCACCAATGCAACACCACAGTTTCTTTAGAAACTCACCACCTTTTATTCATTTGACCAGTTTCACTTAGCTATCTTCTATTAAACCCTTCAATTCTAACCTTGTTCCAGTATGTTTTTATCTCCACCATATCCAGTGCCTTCACAGAAGAATTCACAATCTTTTATCTCCAGCCTTACTACACATCTATAAACAGCATTCGTTTTTTCCTGGCTATCTTCTGTTTCTGACCTATTCTCAAGTTTATCCAACTAAAAGAACAGAACATCTGTTCAGCACTTGTTTGTGACAAAGCAGGATTTGTAGCACAGGGATATGGAACAACTAGCTCTCCGGCAAGGTTTGTCAATGCTCGCTTTATTTTCCTCTTCAAGATGTGCTCTCTTTGTAGATTCATGCACTTACAATTGATGTATCATTTCTAACAAACCCCCCAGTGTTTGCCAGATTACCTGGCTTGTAGTGTGAACAGTTTCTTTCTCCCAGATAGGTTTATCACCTTTATTATTCAGAAGTAACCACCTAAAGGGGGGGGGGGGGGGGGG